GCGGGTAGCTAGAGGTGGGCTCTCTCCCCTTACATGGCCGTGGAAAGGTCACAGCTTCATCCCATGTCTGTTCTGTGGAACAGAATGGACCACAATCCCCTTTAGCTGAACAGCTTCACAGACTCGTGTCCAGAGGTTATGGGCTATGAGAACAGCCAAGAAACCGGAGGACAGCGGGGTCCAGCGTTAGGTCTCCCACAAGGGTATCTTAGTTCTTGCCCGTGATTCAGCCTTAATTGGCCAGAGGAGGGCAGTATTCCTGTATTGACTAAGACAGTGTGCACATGGGCAAGAGGAAACTGCCCCCAAACAATTCAAGTGAGGTTACAGGAAAAAGTAGAAGTGTATACTGGGAATCCAAAATAAATAGCAAGTGTCCTCTACAAGCAATTGCACGGAAGGCTCACTGCCAGTATCCTGAGCCAGGAATGAGTTGCCTGCCCAAAGCTCCCCCCACTCCAGGACGTGTTAGTGGAAGGATCTACCACAATGCCATCTTTGAATGCATGCTGGGCGCCCCTGTCCCCCAGTTACTTCTGTTGTTCACACCTTCCTGTGGGATTATTTCAAATCCCTATTTCCTGATGACCCAACATCCTCCTGCAATCAGCCGGCAGGGGTGAAGCCTGCCAACGCCTCAGGTAGCAGCCATACGCTGCCCACGCCATTTTCAGCACATCCTGTGTTCACAGCGTTCCAGCTCTGCTCCAAATGACAGTTTTAGTTTGTGAAAATTTCCATGGCCTCCTGCTAGGCTCCAGCACACAGACTCACACACAGTGAGCAGACTGTGTCCCTTTTGTGCTGGTCCCCAGCCCCCACCCTGTGCTCTGTGCCATTATCACCCCACTACACAGGACACTTGTGACTCCTGCTAACCCCACTGTGAAGCAAGGGTCTGTCTCGGGAACCCAGACAAGGTTAGGAGTGGCGGCATACTCACACGCAGCCATCCTGGTGGTCTGTGAACAGTAGTGTCAGCCTTGGCCATTAATAAGCTGCTAAGTCAGGCCAGTGAGTGTCCTGGAATCTCCTAAATATACCTGGAGGGCCCACAAGTCTGCAGTTTGAACAAAGCCTTGAGGTTTTTTGTTTTTATTTTTTTTTAAGAAGAAATCAGTTCAGGCTTTTCCCTCAGCAAACACCTTGTATGGTGTCAGGCTCTGGGCTTGGTGCTTCACACATGTGACCATCAATGCATACGACTCTAGGGTACACACAAAAGGCAGCTCACATAGTTAGCATATGGTAGAGCCAGATTCAGGCCCAGCAAAGTGTCTATGCTTTCCCACTGCACTCAGGTTCAAACCCATCTCCCATAGGTGCTTTCTCTCCTGTGAGCAAGCACATGTGTACATGTGTATACATGCGTGCACGCGCAAGCGTACACACACACCAACCATTGTCTCCCAAAGGTCTCTAGGATTCTTCTGCTTTGTTTCAGTACCTCTACAGAAGCATAATTTATGCATCAAGTTCACCGATTATAAGGATACACTTGAGCTTCAGTGAATTTATACAGTTGTACAGTCCATGTAATAGTGATATCCAAGTTTAGAACACGGTCCTGCAGTCAGTCACTGTTGATGCCCTTGCTCTCCTGAGCTTTTCCTTTTCCACACCTCTGCCATGTCCAGAGGTGGCAAATCAATGCAATCAAACCTTGACCTGGTGCCGTGATGTTCACGTGTGTTGTTGCGCGTGTCAGTGGTATGGCCTGTTCCTGTGTATACAGGTTGACACGTCCACTAAATAATTTACAGTGTGAAGTATTGTAGTGTGGCTATGAGCTTTTGCATGTTAAGTCTGTAATTATAGGACTTCATATACCTATGTAGATACTGAGGAGTGGAATTTCTGGGTCATATGGCAAATATGTTTAACATCTTAAGAAGCCGCCAAACTATTACCTAGATTAAATGCACCATCTTATGGTTCCGGTTTCTTCAGACTTTTGGCCAAACTTGAAAACATCAGTCTTTGGCTGTTGGAACTCTAGTGGTGGATGGTGGAAGCATTAATTTGCATTTCCTTGGTAAAGAATGACGCCGGTCATCTTTTCAGCTCTGCTTTGCTGCAATAGCCATTTAAATCCTGGTCATTTTTGTTTCTATCAACTCCAGTTGAATTGTTAGACTTCCTTTATATACACGCGCGCACACACACACACATATATAATTTAAAATCTAGTTTCTCCTCTCGAGAGAAAACATCCAGTATTTGTTTTTCTGAGTCTCATTTTTTTGTTGGACATAATGATCTCTAGTTACATCCATTTTCCCGAAAATGTTATGGTTTTGTTTTTTATGTTAGAATTCTTCATATGTTCCGGTCATACATCTCTTACAAATATATGATCTTCAAATATTTTCCCAGCTTTTGGCTTATTTTTTCTCTAAAAAGCAAAGCTTTTAATTTTGATGATGTTGAATTTACCAATATTCTCCATTTTAAAAAACCGTGGTTTTGGGTCTCATGTTTAAGAAATCTTTAGGCAAAGATTCACAAACATGTTCTTCTGTGTTTTCTTCTAGATTTTTATGGTTTTAGCTCATACATTTGAATCCATGATTCATTCTTAATTTTTGTATTGGGCCTGTGTGAGATGAAAAGCATTACTTATTTATATATTTTTTGTATTGGCATCCAGGTACCCCAGCATCCTTTACTGAAAAGACGATCTTCTAACAATAAGACTATATTCTAAAATGAACTAAACAGATTTGCCTTAGCGTTGCTGTCAAGCCGGTTGGCCGGGAGTGCGCTTGAAGTCTGCTTGTCTCGTTGGTCTGTGTTTCCGTCATTAGGTCAGCACCATTCCGCCCTGATTGCTGCAACTTTATTAAAAGTCTTCCGCACTTCTAATCATAATTCTTTCCTTTAGGTCCTTCCCACTTCCACATGAAGGACAATCTTTTCAAAACAAACACAAGCAAAGGCTTTCTGGGGGTTGTTTTGTTACAAATTAACTAGGGCAGCACGCGGGCTCTGTTCTCCCCATCACGGGGACTGAAGCTAGAGCCAGGCAGGTGCTAGCCCTGAGCTGTGTCTTCATCTCTTCCTGAGACTCGGTGCCGGCCTGGACTTGAGTTACAGTCCTCTTGCCTCAGACTGGAATCACGTGCCTGCTCCACTAGGCCTGGCAACAATTGCTACCTTAACACTTTTGCATCCTGTAATCTGTGAATTCAGTGGCTCATTCCATTTCTTCAGACCTGTGATTTCTTTCTTTCTTTCTTTCTTTCTTTCTTTCTTTCTTTCTTTCTTTCTTTCTTTCTCAGCAGCGTTTTGAAGTTTTCAATTTCGTTCTCAGCATCCACATTGTGGCTCCCAACCATCTGAAACTGCAGTTTTAGAAGATCTGATGCTCTCTTCTGACCTCTGCAGACACTATGTGCATGTGATATATGTCCATACAGGCTAAGTAAATAAATACTGGTCCTATTTTATTCTTTTTATGCTAGTGTGAATGAAACTTCCTTTTTGATTTTATTTTCCTGTTTATTATTATTATCATTATAGTTTTATTGAGACAGGGTCTTTCTCTTATATAGCTCTAGATGGCCTGGAACTTGCTATGTAGCCCAGGCTAGCCTTGAACTCACAGAGATCCACCAGCCTCTGCCTCCGCAGTGCTGGGACTAAAGGTGTGTGCCATTGTTTATTGATGGAGTATCCTGTGGCCTTCTAGTCTTGCTTACTGGCTCTGGTAAACATTTGTGGATTCCTTAGGCTTTTCTGCAGATAAAACCATGGTATGGAAATAGAGTTTTACTGCTTCCCTTCTGGTTTGCACATCTTTGATTGCTTCCTTGCCCATAGCATTGATTAGGTGATCCGTAAAAGGAGGAACAGAGGTGGCAAGAGCAAACATTCTTGCCTTCCAGCAGGTCCTAGATTCTATCATTCCAAAGAGAACCTGGTGATCTCCCAGCAAAGGTGAAGCCTCTTTGCTTCATCCCCTGCTTCTTGCCTAAGAGACCTGAAACTTGCATTTTGCGTAAAAGATGAGTAATTCTCGTATTTCTTGCTAGGGTAGAGCACAGGTTTTCCCAGTGCCAGCATTTTAGTACCTCAGAGGAGTTGCTCCTGCTCTTGACAGTGCCCTGCCATAGGGAGTCAGTGAGTGAGAAGAGAAAATCAGCTAAAGCATACTGGGAACCCCGATGAAAGGTCTTCATAACAGAGGACTTAGGATGAACCTCAAGACCCTGAAAGCCAGCACCCTCCTAAGCACCGTGGTGTCCTGCCCCCACAGACAACTGTACCCCAGTTTTCTCTCCAGAGTACTTGCCGAACCTCAAACAGGCTGATCACTCCAGGCCCCTAAACCCACCATGCTCCCCTCAGTCTTTGACTGTGTTACCCAACTCCATTTTCCTCTGCTCCATATCCTGCCCACGTTCTTCCAGCACCGACCCCATTCTGGGCCCCAGAGATCTTGCTCCATATGGGCACAGCTGTACCCACCACCTAATTTAGCACATGACCACAGCAGGGCGCTGCCAGGGAGCTACTAAGGCTTTTCTCTGATGACTTGGATATAAAAGGTGTGCTTTACTAATGCTGATAAGAAATCCATGATCAACCAACAAGACAGATGCCACCTTCTCTTTGAGGCTCTTACAGCAGATCTTCAATATTCTGTACCAGTTAAAGGCAGTGCTAAGCGACGGGTGTTAGGTAAATTCATTCAGCCAGTAGTGTTTGGGGCGCTCAGGTCTGAGGTACTCCTGGGGGCTGCTAAGATAGAAGGGTGCTCGGTCTCTTGCTCTGGCTCTCGTTTGGCGTCAGGGGAGACCCAGAACAGCAGAGACACAGTGTGGGGTCAGTGGTGGCTTCAACCTTTATCTGGATCCTGTTAGCCTGTCCCTGGCATCACATCCCCTTAATAAAGCGGTTTTGTTTACCGATGTGTGTTTACACATTAAGTGAGTGCACCGCCCATGAAATCCTGTCTACCAACTGACTCAGCCTTTGTACCTCTCCTCCGCCAACAGCCATATCCTGGAGGCCCTCGATGTCTTCTGGACGTCTTCCGAGGTACCATGTCCAGGAAGCTGCGGAAGCCCACACTGCCTCCACTGCCAGGAAACTAGATGCAGGTATCCTTGAGAAGTATACCCAGGACATTGGGACCCAGAGGGTTGGAGGGCTCTCTTCTTACTCCTACCACATCCTGGAAGTCCCTGAGGCTCTGGGCAACCTGTCCACAACCACAGAGCCTCTCATCATCTCACACTGCACATTCTTGCTTCCCGGAGAGTGCGGAGAGTGCGCGCCTGCTCAGCTGCTTTGCCAGTGTTTCCATTGCACGCCCGAGGGCTGTGAATTACAAAAGTGGCTTTTCTACAGTCAGTTCAAGCCAGCCTGGCTCCGGTCCCTCATTCTCCTTTGTCAACGAAGCAAAGACAGGGTTGTTCCCCGGCTTTGTGTCTTGCAATGCGGCAACCCTCTCCCTGCCTTCCTCTCCCCATATCTCAGAACCCCCATTTGTGCCGTTCACTTGACCCTGCTCTGAAGGGGGCAGAAAACCCGTTCCAGGCACAAGGGGGCATTTGGCTTATTTCCACCTTTTGCTTCAGTCTGTAAGGAGGTGAGGAGTACGGGAGGAGGGAGTAAGCTGGAATACTCTGCAGCAATTCATAGGTTGAGCAAGAATGACCAAAAGTCGCCCTTCTGGGGAATTCCCCTCATCCACAACCGGGTGTGTTGGGTACCGCCTCAGGCTGGAGGGCAGGATGGGTCTGGTTTCTGTGAAGCTGCTAGGGGCTGATGTCTTCCGAGTTCCTGTCAAATAGAGACACTTCTTTCCCATTTTTAAAACTGGATGTCTTTTCAGGAGGCCTCTGTTACGGCTTATTCCTTCAGGTCTAGGGGCCGCTCCCTTCGGTGCCTCCCTCGGCAGCTCTGCCCAGAAGGCCAGTGCTTTCCCTGGACAGCCCCTCTTCTCCAAGTCCAAGTTCATCCCCCCCCCCCCCCCCCCCCCGGTTCCCAGCACCCATCTGCCCCCTGTGGGCCCTGGCATTAAGAGGCTGACTTTTTGTCTGCACTATTTAGCAAAGAAAACTTCCATGGAAAAGGTGCACATTCACGAAGAGGACTAAGTCAGTGCAGTTTTTCTTCCACATCACTGAGGCACACCAAATGTTGTCCCTGTGGGTCTGTGATTAATTATTGTTTTCATTAATTGAATTTATTTATTTTAGCCAGGTGATACATTTGTATAAACCTCAGAACCCAAGGAGGCTGTGTCAGGAGGATCCTTTTGAGTTCCAGGCCAGTGTGGATACATAACAAGACCCTGCTTCAAAAACAAAATGTGGGGGAGCCCACAAAGTCCCATCCCTAGTTCAGGTACAGTTGACACTTGATACCTGCTGTGGGGAAGGAGTCAGCTTTCTTCAGGATGTGGGCCCTGAGATGATACTACCCATGTTTCAGTACATGGTCCTACATCCATGCACACACAGGCAGCACCAAGTGTACTCAGTGAGTGTATGTATGTATGTGTGTATGTAGATAGATAGGGAGTATATGAAGTTGGGAGGAGAAAGTGGGGGATGTAGGAGATGAGGAATTGGAGAAAAGGGAATGGGAGCAGATTTGATCCTGGTGCCCAGACGTGGATAACTGAATCCGCAGAAAGCTTGAGAAAGCTTGGGAAAGAATAAAGCATGTTTTGTTGGTAGCAGCAATTTCTCGGGTCTGCTCTGCTTGCTAGAGGCAAGCAAATGCTCTCATCTAAGAGAGGCTTCCTGACTCAGCTTTAGCTGCAAAACCTTGCAGCTCATTAAGAGGTCCTACCACGAAACACTTAAACGGTGTTGGTGAAAAGCTGAATGCATGCTTTTCGGTTTTCAGCTGTAGCAGGAAAAAAGCCACGCTGTTTTAAAATGCTGGCGTTCTAGGTCGTCCTACCAGGGCAAACTCTGACTCTTTCAAGCAAACGTTACTGACTACAGAGGTTTTGAATGTTGCTTAACACTGTTGCAGTTTGCTTGCTGGCAAGGACCTTGAAAGGCCTTGGTGTTGTGGAGATAAACGTGGCTACAGCCAGTACCTGCCTTGAGGCTGGAAAGCTAAGGAATGGCCTAGATCCAGCCGTCAAAGCCACGGTTTTAGACTCACGTGGTAAGAAAAAGAGAGAGAGATACAGTAAAGAGAGGTTCAAAGACGAAGAAAACCTCTAAATGGTTTACTATGTGTTAAAAATATATGCAGGCTAAAGGTTAAAGTCATTAAAAAGAAAAAAGAAAAAAAGGAAGTAGTTAGGTGTGGTGGTACACACCTTTAATCCCAATGCCTGGGAGGCAGAGGTATGTTGACCTCTGTGACTTCAAGGGGCAGAGGTAGATTGACCTCTGTGACCTTAAGGTGTGGTAGTACACACCTTTAATCCCAATGCCTGGGAGGCAGAGACAGATCTCTGTGAGTTCAAGGTGTGGTAGCACATGCCTTTAATCCCAGCACTGGGGAAGTAGAGACAGGCAGATCTCTGTGAGTTCAAGGACAGCCTGGTCTACAAAATTATTCCAGGACAAAGATATACAGAGAACCTGTGTCAAAAAGTAAAAGTAAAAATAAAAAAAATAGAAGTTAAAAATAAAGCTGCATAAAGATGGAAAATACACAGAGAATCTTGATACTGTAAGCTATTATGCTCTCTTGGAATTGTTTGAATGCTGAGGAAGGAGCAACAGCTGCTAAAAGATATTTGTTTATAAATGCTGCTGAACTAATCCAAGATAGGTATGTTGAAAATACCTTGACTTCTGAATTTGGATCTAAGGATATGATACTTTGGAAAGGAGGTTCTTCTTTTGTTTTCACAGAGGATGAGACCCTGTGGATTGCTTCTATCCCAATATGGTATGATAGACCACGCCCTCCTGAAAGGTTTCTGTGAACACCCTCAAAAAATTTCTTCATTCATGAAAGACCTGATTAACTGCGCCCCTATACAGCAGGAAGAAGTTTGGAGAGAAATAACTACGTCCATATTCCCAAATATTGCTTATAAATGTTCTTTTACATTTAAAGGGGGATATGATATAGATATGAATAATTTGCATTGGTATGGATTTTAAGGTCAATTTTGTTATATGTGTATATATTTCTGATTTTGATTGTGTAGTTCATATAAAAATGCAATGTATAATTAAAAATATAGGTTGTTAATGGATAATCATTGATAATAGTCAAGCTTGTAGTAATGTTAGTCTGATTTTCTAGAAACGCATAGATATATTTCAGATAGACATTCATATCTTTCAAAGACTACAGAACATGGCATTGAATGTTTTAATAACTTAGGACTTTTCATGACAATGAGACACGTCTGCTCCTGGCAGCACCAATCTACTTCAAGAGGAAGATGGGCATCGAAGAGGCTCCTTATGGAGTTGGTTAGCCATTTGGGCAAGAAACTGCTCTTGCCTGGACTGTCATATAAATTGGACACAGAGAACCCGCAGAGAGAGGACTGCTAATCTTGCCTAAAGGTGAGATGATCTTTCGGGGTTCCTGATTCATGAAAGAGTCTTGAGACATTCTGCAGGACACAGCAGATAGTGACTGAACTGCCTTTGAAATTTCCTGCTTCATGGAAATGTCTGCTGGATATTATGGGCCTAAAGGCCGAAAATGGATGCCCCAACGATACAGAGGAACTTTGGGTGACTGTCCAGGCAGCGAGATGTCTCTGTCATTTCTAGAGTTTTGGAAGTTGCTTACTTCTTGTTTACTTAGGTAATATTATATCCTTCTGGAGTCTTTGATGGAGTTGAAGAATGGATAGTCATAGTTATAGTTTTCCATTATTATGATAAAGATATAGTTATAAATATTGTGACTGTAATTCTTGTTTGATAACTGTTTTGTTATATGTAATTTTACTATGTTAAAATGAAAGCCTTTCTTTTTGTTTAAACAGAAAAAGGGGAAATGATGAAGGAGGGTTATCTGTCTATTGTTATTTTCATTGATCAATAAAGAGACTGCCTTGGCCCCTTTGATAGGACAGAAAATTAGGTAGGCGGAGTAAACAGAATAGAATGCTGGGAAGAGGGCAATGAGGCAGATGCCATGGAGCCAGCCACCAGGTCAGACATGCTGAATCTTTCCCGGTAAGCCACACCTCGTGGTGCTATACAGATTATTAGAAATGGGTTAATCAAGATGTGAGAGTTAGCCAGTAACTAACTCTGTAGAGATAATGGGCCAGGCAGTGGTTAAATGAATACAATTTGTGTGTTGTTATTTCTGGGGCTAAGCTAACCATGCGGGAGCTGGGCAGGATGAAAAGCAGGCCTGCCCGCAACTCCTCACTACATGGTCCAAACAAATATCTATGTATAAATAGTAAATAAAAATTTTTTGTTTGTTTTTTGAGACAGAGTTTCTCTGTGTAACAGCCCTAGCTGTCCTGGAACTAACTCTTGAAGACCAAGCTGACCTCGAACTGACAGATATCCGCCTGCCTCTGCCTCCTGAGTGCTGGGATTAAAGGAACGTAGGTTCTGGATGACGGACAGGATTTAAGCCCAGCATGGTTGCCTCAAACATCTGCTGGACTGAAATTGACGTTTGTAACCCAGAAGTACAGGGTTAGCTGGCAGCCACCAGTTCATGACAGAGAGCATTTTCCTCCTCTCGGAACAGCACACCACTCTATAGACGCTGTCTTCTTCGCTATGGTGTCCAGGACACTGTAGTTCCGGCACCCTCGGTGGGTCTTCGCCCACCACACAATCAGCACCGTGGAAGGAAGGAGGATGTAGTTTTGAATCATCGCTGTGGCTCCACCCCTCATCCACGGACCACGGTTCCTCAGCACCAACAAACAACACAGAGCCCTCTCCCTGTGTCTGAGGCTCACCCCTACTCCCCTCTGCCTCTCGGGGTACGGCAGCCTAATCCTGGTGCTGGAACTGAACTCAGGTCCTCTGGGTAGAGCAGCAAGGGCTCTTAGCCGCTGAGCCGTCTTCAGCTCCAGGGGATCCATTGTTAGGAGACTGTAGATCCAGTCCCTCCTTCAGCCTCGTTTAAACTTTCCAATTGTGAGCTGGAATTCTCCTAGAAACTTCCATAACCTGTACCTTCATAAAGACAACTCGAGCAGAAAGCAGAGACCTGGCTTCATGGGAAACTTGGAAACAGCATTGCAATATTTTGCCTGGGTAGGCTGGATATTATTTATTGTTAATATTAACATTATTACACATAGAAATTTTCCTCCGTAGGAAAGGAGTCATTTAAAATAGTCGTTTTGCCTGACTTGTCCAAGATTATTGTTTCTTTTCTTCAGCACTAACCTTAGAGATTCCCCCCTGTAAAAAGTGTGTCACGGTTTGGGCAGTGAAGTCTAGGCTAGAGGACACAAGCATCCACGTGGCGACTTGGGATTCACATTCCTGGTGACTTCTGGACTCAGGTCACCCCAGGAAGGAAAGTGAGAGCTTGGAGAACTGCAGTCATTTTACTGGACATGCCTTGCAGTAATGCGCATAATTTCCTCTCTAGTCCTTGGCTAGAATCTGGTTTGGGCGCCTGAACCTACTAGGAACTTCCAAGGGAATGCATGAAATGTAGCTTTCTCGTGTATTTCAGAAGAAATAAACGCACCGTTGTAGAGTTCTTTGTAGCCATTCCCTGCTCCAAGAAATTCTGTTTTTCCTAGCCTACCCTCCTCTCCAGGTGAAACCCTGTCTGACTCACCTAAGGAAATCTAGGTAGAGTTGACACAGCACGCTGGATAGACAGAAGGGTATAGGCACAACCTAAGATTAAGGCAAATCAAAAAAGAGTCAATTAGCATGAATATGTGTTGACTGATTCACTGATAGGAAGGCTTGCTAAAATTCACAGTGCACTCAAGAATTATAGGAAGAACTCAAATACCTGCTAAGCAATCCGAAAGGTCGGGAGTGGGGATTCTTAGGAAACTTCCATCTTACCAATGCACAACTCCCCAGCTAAAGCCATTCCACCTCCTTCCCTCTGGGATGTGCTGGCAATCCCTCTGTAGTGTCAAAGGCTGGGAAATCGTTCTGAAGGCAGCATGTCCTGCAGGAGCATTGACTTTGGCTCCACTCAGCATCACCCTTGTGTTGCCATAGCCTCTTTTGAAGGCCTGAAGTTGACTGTCCTTGAAATAAAATGAGAAAACCTGAGCTTGTAGGCCAGTTTGGTCCCCAGCCCAGCTCTCCCAGCCAGAGAGAGCAAACAGTCCTGTGCCTGTGACATCCAGAGTGCACAAGGACCTTCCAGGTCAGTCAGGAGGCCAGAGCAAGCACACAGCCTCTGGAAAGTCAGGAAGAGCCACCCATTGACCAAGTAGTAATGAATGGGCCCCACTTGTCCCCTGGGGCTGCCTCAACGGGGACCCTGAGGGCTGAAGTTCATCTTCAGATCTATAGATCTATACATGCAGGCCCATCTTTCCTGTCTCTTAGCTGAGAATTAGGCTTAAAAAATAGATTATTAGTACCAAGTTTTAGGTACAATTAGATATGAGAGTCATTCTCTATCAGCAGGTAAGGACTGTCTTGTCTCCACAACCTAGTATAGAGGACCACAAAGAGAAGACAACAAGTAAATACTTATAATATTCAGAATGATTAAAGGTAAACTGTTTCAGCTTACTCTCTCTCTTTTTAAAAAGAAACATATATATGTGTTTTTTTGACTACCGGCATGTCTGCGCACC